CCAAACAGTCCTCAAATTGAAGGTTCCTGACTACTACTCTTCGTAATGTGTACTAAAACAGTTGTACTGCTCACCCTCGTTTATGCAACTGCTCCTTTGGCCATTCGCTCATGTAATATCTCGGCTGTGAAAGACTCTAACGGAAATTCCAAAGACAATTCTCTTTTACTACTTCATACAACGTGCCACTAGCGGTGTTGGTAAGTGATATGTCCTCATAGTTCTTTTGCGTTTTGTTTTCAGAAATGAAATTAACACCATCCGTAAGAAAAGTGCCATTCTGTCAGGAGTTGTTACCTTGTGGGACAGTTCAGTATCAATGGCGACCCTGTTGTCTGTCGTTACTCTCGTGCTTACTGGTCAACCCATCACACCTGTAAATGTCTTTATGCTGCTAGGTTTTATGGATATCGCAAGAACAATAACATGCCTTCATTTTTCTTCTGCTTTGTTGCAAGGAAACGACGCTCATGCGTCGCTAGGAAGAATAGAAGATTTTCTCCTTTTAGAAAACCTTCCCGCCATCTTACGTGGTCAGTCTCAAGACGACATCAGTAACCCAGGGAGCAAGGCAACCAAAGTTACGAGTGGTCTGTCAGATCAACAGGCGAAAATGGCAAGGGTATTCAATCCTGACCTAAGAAAAACTCCGCTGAACGAGCCCAGTATTTTATGTGTGTCGAATCTGACGAACCGACAAATCGAGCGGCAAGATGAATTTATTTTGCAGGATATTGAATTTTCCACAGCACCCCAAAGCCTAACAGTCATTACTGGACCAGTGGGAAGTGGAAAATCTACTCTTCTCTCAGCGATTGCTGGCGAGATCTCTGAAGTTAGCGGGACAATAACCTTCCAAGGTTCTTTTGTTTATGTTCCCCAGACAGCTTGGATCTTCTCTGGAACAATAAGAGAAAACATTCTGTTTGGTCAACCATACGATGAAACAAAGTACACCAGTGTAATTGAAGCATGCGCCCTCAAAGAAGACATCCAGCGGTTTCCTGACTATGACAAAACAGTTGTTGGAGAACGCGGAGAAGTTCTGAGTGGAGGTCAGAAGGCGAGAGTAAGTTTAGCACGCGCAGTTTACGCTGATGTAGACCTTTACTTGTTAGACGATCCTCTGAGTGCCGTTGACTTTAAAGTTGGCCAACATATCTTTGAAACATGTATTAACGACCTACTGGGCGATAAAACGCGAGTGTTAACATCACATCAGGAACAGCACATGAAAGAAGCTAATCAAGTGATTGTGTTGTACAAAGGCCGCGTGTTGGAAAAGGGAAGTTTCATTGAACTGCAAGAAAAGGGTATTCTAAACACAACTGTTGACCCGCTCTATCAGACAGTTGGGAAAGATAGGAAGTATACTAAGAGCGTTGCTCGGGAAATTGAACAGAAAAACGGAGGTGATGGCTGTGACACAATGGCTCCACTACCCAATGAACCTAGGAGTTTGGAAATATCACAAGAAGATCGCTCCATCGGAGTGATTTCATCAAAGCTTTACTGGAACTACTTTAGAAGCGGAGTACATTGGTCAACAATCTGTGCAGTAATTTGTTTGTGCTTCATAACGCAAGGTAAGAGTTCCTATTGTAACTAGTCATTCATACATAACAATAACTTTATTTTGTATTTCTTATAAGATTATTAAGCTGATCAACGACAATTTCATTATGATTTGCTTCTTATCAAGGTTTTGATCATATTATTTTTATTTTGTCTCTTTCTTTTCTCAGCAATGATGGTTGCTCCTGACGTCTGGCTCTCGTCGCTAACAAAGAAACTACCAGAAGATCAGGAAGACAACACAAACTTGACTATCTATGCTTGTCTCGTCAGTGGGTCCCTTATCTTTGCCATCATTCGAGCTTATGGATTCCTTCTGGTTTCCTTAAGATGTTCAGAGCGTCTTCATGACAAGATGGTTTTGGCTATTTTACAAGCACCGGTTCATTTCTTTGATTCCAATCCCGTGGGAAGAATACTCAATCGATTTTCTAAAGATGTAGGGTGCCTTGACGAATTGTTGCCCAAGACTTTTCTAGTATCTATCCAGCGAGTCTTGTTGGTGTTAGCATCAATAATTGTTCCAACTGTTACAAATCCTTGGCTTCTATTTCTTGTTGTTCCGTTGATTGTGTTAGTCTTGTACATCTCCAAGTATTACTTGAAAACGTCCAGAGAGCTCAAAAGGTTAGAGTCAATATGCCGCAGTCCAGTCTTCTCCCACTTTTCCGAGACCCTGAATGGACTGGACACGATTCGAACCAGAGGCAGACAAAGGGATTTCGTGGATCAGTTTTACAGGTAATTTCGTTTAGTCTTAAGCCTGGCTCACACTAGCGACGTAACGACATACCGACATCGTCACGAACGACATGAAAAGGACATTATCTCGACGTAAAAAGGACGTTATGTTTGTAATGTGAACATGTAGACATAATGACATATTGTACATAACAGCCTGAACATAACGACATAAAGATAAAACCGATCTTTTCCTTATGTCGTTATGTCGATGACGTTATGTCGTTATGTCGCTAGTGTGAACCAGGCTTTAACAGTCTTAAGGGCGCTTTTCACTAGAGTTTTGAACATAAAACGCATTTCCTTTGATTTTGCGCGCATTTCCACGTATATTGATATGCTTGAATATCTTGTGCCATTAAGATCAATTGCGACTCGCTTGTATATGTTTTCTAGAGCCTCAAGTGTTTAGTAATGACTAGCTACTTACGTACTGCAGTTTCATTCCGTTAGATATCAAGATGTTCATAATCAGTCCTATATTATGGTGATGGCCAGTGGGCGATGGCTTGGTGTACGCTTAGACCTTCTCATATCCATGTTAATTGGTGCAGTGTCTCTGGCAGCTGTTTTGGTGTCTCAAGATGCCGGTAGGTGCATTTGTAAGGTAATCAAAATCGGCCAAAAAAACGATACTAAATCTGAGGATTTGGCATTACGACACCACGCTTGCCTTATTCTTAACAGAGCTGATCAATATATTCTATTTTTCATTTTGCTGTTTATCTATTACTCTCATGGAGGTGTATCGCAGGGACTCGCCAAAGATTACCATTTCGGTTTAAACTGAGACACGGAGAATTCGCGTTAGTTAAGGGCAATCACAGCCAGCAAAATAGAGGAGCCTCTCATTACTTGTTACCGGTCTGTTTTTCGTTTACTGGCAAAAGGCAATTCGGATTGGAACGATATCTGCATGATACGACAACAAAAGTAGCTAAAAGTGAATGATTCTTTTATGATGGAGGCGGCGTGCCGGGTACCCTACGAACAGCAGACTCTTAGTGGAGAAAGAAATGCTGGACTTGTAATCGACAATGGACCCATTGAAATCGTTCAAACTTATACTTAATTGGGAACACTCATTTCTTCAACGTCTAACTTTTCATTGGCACTTGATAACTTGAAAGAAAAGGCCCTTCACGCCCTTTTCAGTCTCAGAAAACACAGCAAATTTCCTCCATTCCTAGCAAATAAAATTTTCGACGCGATTATCTCCCCAATTTTGTCCAATGCAACAAAAGTATGCTTTATACTCGCAACGTACCATGCAAAACTCTAATTAACTAGAATTATGTTACTGTTTTAGTTTTAGTTCTAGTTGTTGTTGTTGTTGTTGTTGTTGTTGTTGTCGCTGGTTCAAATGCTCTTTCCCAGTTAGGAGCAATGAAACTATAATCTTGGTCAATAATTCTCTTACCCATGACCTTGTTTACACAACCCTTTCAGTGCAGTGAAGACCGAGTGAGGAGCGCATGCCGTCTTGGCAGAGGTGGCGGATAGAACTGCGCACGAGCAGAATATTATCTGCGAGTAAGCGCAGTAGCAAGGAACTATTTAAGATAGTCTACTTACAGGTGACGGAGGTCTCTTAACCAATCAAAAGAAGAAAAATATCCGTCATATGATAATGTGGAATTAGTCTATTTAACGGAAAGTTGTATCATAGGGCGCGGTATTTTTATTCGTCAAGTTTAAAAAATAATACCCAGCCGTATCATACGACTGAATAATCTGAATAATCTCTTATCGTTTTGTTCTTTTGTTTTAATCAGCTTGGGCCGGACTTGCGCTTGTTTATGTCATCCAAACTTCGATAAGTGCTCAATACGCTGTCAAGAAAACCTCGGATGTCGAGAATTTCATGACCTCAGTTGAACGAGTAATGACGTACACCAAACTTGACTCAGAACCTGGATACAAAGTGCATAGGCTTCCCCCAAACCAATGGCCACACGCAGGAAATATCACATTTCAAGATGTGTCATTAACGTACTATCCGGGGGGACCTCGAGTACTGAAGAGAATAAATCTTAACATCAAAGGAGGAACAAAGATCGGTGTTGTAGGCCGCACAGGTGCAGGCAAGTCATCTTTTGTGGCAGCTCTCATGCGCATGCCAGATGCTGATGGAGACATA